GATATTTTGGAAACCTTGAAGGCGAGCATCAGCCATGGAGCCAGCAATGCAGGCAAAGAAGATAAGAGCAAGAACAGCTTTCATTGTAATTGGTTTGTTTCGAACTTGATAAGTGAAGATGAAGATTGTAATGTGTAAAGACTCTGTAAAAACTAGTGTCCTTATATAGTCCGATCGTACATGATTCCTACGTAGATATGAGATCGTATCCATCTGTGCGCATTAAGATATTTACGAAAACGATAAGGCACAAGCAAATTAGAAACTTACAGAAGAGAACAACATTTACATATGTTTCATTTTCACAGCTCAAATATGCTGTATTTTTTAATGGATTTTTTCAAGGTTATATCCTTCGGTGTGAGTGATAAGAAGTATATCGCTTTCAAAATAATAGGTTTTCAGATGTGTGTCAATAAGCAGCTAAAGTTAATCGTTTTTTTTGTTGAGCATGATCTATAGAAGAATTTTGTTTGTCGACCGATTCGAAATACAATACTTGTTTTGCTTCATTATCGTTTCAATTCTTTTCCAATATACTGAAGATAAATTAAACTTGTTATTTTCATTTTAACTCAGTAATATCTCGACTTCAATATAATGATCATCGCAAAATACAGCAACAATATTAATTAATTGTCATTAATTTTTATAAGTAGAACAGATAACAATAACGAATAGCAGATGAAATATTTCCTGATGAATATGTTGAATTATAAGAATGTTTTTATGGACATAGAATGACTTTAGTATCTACCTTGAATGCGTACTTTATATGTATTCAATTGAATTGCGAACAAATAAATTTATAATGAACAATATTGTTCTTTAAATCAAACTGTCAAATCGACATAGCCTGAGAAAATTTTTTTGGCATCTTATATTTTGTACGAATATATACTATGTTTCATAGTAATTCTTTCAACTTGAAGTAATCAACTATCTGCAAAAATAACAGGTGCTTTTGTTTATTACTGAAGCATAAGTAATAAATCTTATTTCCGTTTTGTTAAAAGAAATTATTAACAATTGAATACATCGATGAAAATAGATAAGTATCTTTGTCTCGTATTCAATGTACACAGCAGTACAACAAAATGATATATATATATAATCTATAGATTTAAACATTTACATATGTATTTATTTTAAGAGATGATAATTTTTTTTATTTCCCAGAAAAAAAAAACAATGAATAAGAGCATGAAATAAGATATAAACTAACGATTATTAAATAAGATCTATATGTATGTATTAAGTTGATAATATAACTTAAAGTTGTCATTCAAAAATGTTTTGCCATTGGTTTAGCATCATTTGGATGAGTTTCCGTATGTGCTTTTGTTGTTATAACAGTTGTTGTTGTACTTGTTAAACGACGAGTTGCATCTTCGACACCAAGCTATAAAAATAAAAATAATTAATTTTCTGTTTTACTGTTTTTTTTTTCATATGAATCTAAATAATTTACATGAGCAACTTTATCAGTGATTTCTTCAATTTTTGAATTTGCTTTTGCTTGAGCTTCTTTGAATACATTCTAATAAAAAGATTATCCAATTAAACAAAAAAAAAAAAAAAAAAGAAATTAATCACCATTTTTAATCGATTAGCTTCTTCATTTAATGCATCAATACGTTTTCTAGCTGAGTCAAGAATTTGTTCTTGACGAAGATTTAAATCTTTTTCAAGTTGTACAAGTGTAGCCGCTTTTTCGTCATCAAGTTGATTAATAAATCTTTCAAAAAAATTTACAAACAAAAAAAAAATATTTTTATTTTGAAATTGAATCTTTTTTTTTTGGTTTTGTTTCTTTAAACTCACAACATTAATTTTTCTTTATATTGATTCTCAATTTCAGTTGATAGTTTTTCAGTATCATCAAGTAATTGTTGTTGTTGAAATTGTGTTTCATGAACAATTTTTTCGATACTATTTTTAACAGCTTCAGATATTTGATTATTACGACCTCGAGAATAATCATCAATTTGTGCATGTGTTGAACCTACAAAACAAAAACAAAAAAATTAACAAAAAATAAATGATTTTAAAACATTTAAAATTATTTTTTTTTTTTTTACTTAATTTAGCCATTAATTCATTAATTTTATTTTGTGAATGTCGAATAGTTGCTTTCGATTGTGTTTCACTACTAACAACCGATTTAATCTTCACATCATCACATATAACTGTATGAATATTGGCCTTTTTGTCAGAATTTTCACCATGTCCAGTAAGAACATGACTAACAGCATGAATTAACGACGACATTAGTTTGTGATGATGACTACCGTGTTGTATTGTAAGAAAATGAACGGATACGAGTTTTGTTTCTTCTCTTCTTTTTTTCTCTTTTTTTTTTTCTACAAGAATGAAGAGAATGAACCCGAGGTCAAGTCATACATATATGTATAGATATTTTTCTGTTGCTGCTTTGCTTGGCAAAAGGGTATGGCGCACACAACTTGATTAAATAGTAACGAATGAGGTCAGAAGGACAATAATTAATCTGACCTGACTAAATGGTAGAAAAACAGATCTATATTTAGTTTAAAGAAACTATAAAAGCAGGCAGTGTTCAATTTTGATTAATTTTGTCTTCAGGGACATAAAGAAAAATGTTTTTGTTTCTAGAAATTCAGTGTTTACTTTTTTCATTGTTACAATATGAGAGTGAAAGAAATTTCTCGAATATTTTATTAGTCATTATTTTATTGAGTTAATCAAATTATTATAATGTATTACAAGAAAATATGGGTATATTCTGGATGTACTATTCTATTTTTTTTTATATATGTTATGTCATCTCGAAATGAATAGAATACGATGACTACGTTGTCATATGAGAATATAGAACGGAAGCCTATTTATTTTAACCTACAAAAAAAAAAATAACAAGTTTCCTGTTGATCTCTATTTCACTAACGGCTAGTAATTTTATATGTCTATAATCTTATTTTGTTATAACAGTAAATTAAGTATGTGAACGTTATGTCTAGAAATGAATTTAGTTCTGAATATTGTATTACATATATTTATGACAATTTTTCTTCTAAAGAATGGAAATCGATAAATTACTTACGAATATGATTTCTGTTATGAAGCACAAAAAAAAAAAACGTTTATTAAAAACAATATTTCTATATTAATTTCAATGAAAGCTGTTATAACTTGTTATTGTACAAGAATGTAACGAATATGTTGATGATTGTATTATATCTGTACGAAAACGGAATAATATGAACGGACGAAGACGAGACGATAAGCCAAACTAACAGATTAGCAAAGTTTCGAGTATAAATACTTAAATCATACTACGAAGAAGAAAGAAAAAAAAAGACATTTGAATAGGAGAGGAGCTTAGTACACAAAAAAATTTTTTTTCTTCTTAATAATAGTAGTCCGACCGACATATAAACAAACGATGAATAATGATTCGTTACTGAACTATACTTCTGTAGTAAAAGTAGCACAGCATAGTAGTCTTCACTTTGTATAATTATTTCGTCCGAAAAATGTTCTATTGTCTGCAATAGAACAATATATCGTCTAGCTTTTAATACTGAAGAAGATCAATTTAATAAAACCCCAAGGAGCGATCATATCGCTACTTTATATAGATAATTGACATTTTCAAGCAATTGGTCGATATGAAAAATCGAATGAACTACTTCGATGCATTCAATTCTAACGCAATATTCATCTTCGAATAAAAGATTCTATATGATCTATTTATGTATAATCACTGACAGACAATGAAGTATCCTTGATTGTTTTCTTAAGACTATTCTCTGAATACACATAATGTATGTTATCCTCGTTTTCACTATAATCTAACCTGTTGTATTTAATGTATATACATATAAACACTGTACTGAAGTATAATAATAACAAATGAAAACTAAAGAATAAAACTCCAGAAACAATAACTGAAGTTTTTCTTTTTATAGTAACAGAAATTCTAACATCTGTTAACAATATGTTTTAAGATTCAGTATGTTAATTTGAAAAAAAAAACCGATAAACATAAAATATTTTATTTTACACATAATTTATAAAGAAATCAATTATTTCATTGTTTATGAGAGACATCTGTTGTATTGAAGTATTATCCTTTTGATGTCCAGCCATACACATAAAAACCTTGATAATTAACTTTTTTAAATATTTTCCCAATTTTTCTATTTAGAAAATAAAAACAAAATTAATAATAATTAATGAAATTTCTTTAGATATATTTTTATGAATAATAATAATAATAATAAAAATAAATCTGAATCAACAACCGTGTATTTAGGTAATACACGTACAATACCAAATGAATATCTATCTGAATATTGTTCAAAATTTGGTCTTGTTCTTGATTGTTCACGTCGTTTATTATCTTCAGAACAAGCTTCACTAGTTGATTTCACATTTGTTCGTTTTTTAAATATACAATCATCATTAAAATTTCTTTCGACATCACCTCATATTCTTAATAATGGTATTAGTCTTGATGTAAGATCATTTAGTGATATTCTTCATACAGCTGTTCCTTTATATGTTGATCGAAAAATTTGTATCAAAAATCTTCCAAGTCATATATCACTTAATGATATAAAAAAATATTTACGTACATTTGGTACAATAAAACAAGTAATTTCAGAAATAAATGATAATCAAGAAAAATATATTTATATTGAATTTGAATCAGCTGCAACAAGAAATAAATTATTAAAAGGAAAAATAAAATATCATCGTATATGTGATCATATATTAGATATTTTACCATTATTAAGACCAACTGATGTTGATCTTTATAAAATGGAAGAACAAAAGTAATTAGAATAAATTTTTTTATTTTCTCTATGAAATATTTTTTTTTTTTTAATTTAAATAGTATTTCAAATTTATCAACTTCTACGGATGATTCAAGTACATTAATTTATTTAGAACATGAATATAATTTAAAAATTCATGAACAATTTAATTTAATCGATAATCAGATAGCAGAATTAATTAAACAAAAACGTCAGAATTATGAACAAATTCGAAAAATGATTCAATAAAAAAAAAATGAAAATTGAAGTCTTTCTTTTTCTTATTATCTTCAATTGATTTGTATATGTGATTTGGTTTCAGATTTAAAAAAAAAATATGTCTTCATCATCAACATCAACTACAATTTATGTTGGAAATATTCAATCAATTAAAGATGAACAATTACGAGAATATTTTCAACGTTTTGGAAAAGTTGAAGCTTTATATCATAATTGTACACGTGCTGCTGATGAATGGTTAATTGATTATCGTTTTATAAGATTTTCATCTGATACAGATATGAATATTTTTTTTAAAACAAAAATTGATCATATGATATGTCGAATAGTTCTTGATATACATCCATATGAAGCAGCTTTTCGTGATGAAACACGTTTATTATTAGATAGAAAAATTTGTATTGCACATACAGATTCAAAACTTAATCGAAATGCTATTAAAAAAGCATTTACTAAATATGGACGAATATTAAATTGTACATGTACATCATCAGGAAATGGTGTAGAACATGCTTATATTGAATTTGAATCAGTTAATTCATTACAATCTATATTTAAATCTGGTCAACGTCATTTTGCTGGTCGAACATCACTTGCTGTTAAAAAACCATTAAGACCATCAGAAGCTGGAGTTAAAAGTGAACCAATAATAATTGATGAAAAATATTCTAGATCAGTATCAACATCGCAATATTCACATGGCCGTCAAAGATTAAATTCAAATATTGAAACAGTACAATATTCATCTTTTTTAGTTAATCATCATAATAGAATTATTGACAATGAACTTCGTACATCAACTTCTATTTCTAATCAATTATTAGATATGTTAAGTTGAATTTTTGCTTTTGTTTTATAGAAAATTTTTTTACTTTTTTTTTCGGGTTTTAGTTCATCGGAATCAGAACGTCAAATATCATCACCGTTTAATATTCAACAATCAGATAATAATTGTTTAATTAAAAACACTATTGCATCATCACAAACAAGCAGGTACTTGGTTTGGAGTTATTAGAGTTCATAAAACTCTACAAATTAGATTATATCATCGAGATTTAGCTGACATACTCATTTTGTTAATGTTAAAAAATTTGGAGAACATATATATTTATATTATATGTGATTTCATAATTCAATCCATACAAATAGATACAAACACTTTGTAAAAGTAAAATATTTATGATGATTGATGAAAGATGAAAATAATGAGGAAAATTATAAGTGAAATATTTACATGAATACTCTGAAAATAGTTCGTGTCCTTAGCTTATTACTGTAGAGATACTATACTTATCATATTTTTTTTAATGAATACTCTTGTAACAGAAAAACTTGTTTTTTGAATTTTAACTTGAAACTTTAGACAAAGAAAGGCCTTAACGAAAATAGTTTTGTGTGAATAGTTCAAATTTTGATGCTGTTTCTATTCTAAGATACCATCATAGTTATACCGTGTTTTTTATATCATTCGAATAAAGCGACAGATTTTATGTTCTTATTTTAGGATAGAATAAAATTAAAAGACTTACAACTTTCACAACAAATTATTCTTCTTAAAGGTTGTTTCTAAAGCAAAGTTTTATGTTGGAATTCGAAAATCATATTTTCTGTTACTACGGTATTCATTTAAAAATTACTGTCAAATGTAGTGTCTCCAGAGCAAGAGTCTAAGAGTACTAATACTTTTCAGGATGTTCATAGTTCATTTGTGTCTGCATAATGTATACAGTCTTGAATTAAAAGCAATTAATTAGGCGAAGAACTTTTCTCGTGAATACCAAAGCTCAATGATGTCGTTACTGAACAGAAGCTTAGTTTTCTTTCTCTCTTATAATATGCATTTTTCGTGTGACAGACGAATACGTAGCTATCGTTCTTAGGAAATGACTTTGTTTTACTCAGAAAATAACTTGTAAGAAAAAAAAAACAACTCTGGGAAATACTTGTCCACATGTTTCGAGAAACTTTTTTTTGTTTAGATAATGTCTTGTGTCATACACTCAATGTAATTTCGCGCTCTGATTTCCGTTATACTATTCATTTCAATAAAAATGCTTTGAGTTTTGAAAAGTAAAAGGCTTTGGTGAAAATCTACTGTATAATTAAAAATAGTTTATGCTAATTGTAGTAATGAAGAGCACAGAAAAGAAAACTCTAACAAAGTTTCAGTGAATTAGACTTGAGATTAATAAACACTAATTCATTTTATTGAGCTTAGTCATTCTGCAATCTACTATAGAAAATATTTTTATGATTTTTCTAAAAAAAATCATACTTTCAATTTGACGTACTTTCTTTCATAATCGATACCAGATGGTAAACAGATTCAAAATATCCACTATGAATGCCTATCATATTGTTTAATTTTGCCGCATATTGATTTGCTTATCGATATCAATGTTTCCAAGCTTATTTTAGAATTCGATTTGCTCCATTGTACTTACAATTTCTTAATAAAAATGTTTATGTTATTAGATAGAACATGTATTAAAGTTTAGGTTTTTTTTCACATAATGTCTGCCTTGATGCACACTGTGCTCTATCATCTGGCAACAGCTGAATCTTGTTTAGAAGCATTACTAGAGGTTCATGGTTAGGACACTGAGTTCCTTCCAACTATAATTTTTTTTCTAATTACAGCACTAAGCCATGATATAATTATGATAATAAACCAACAATAGTAATTATATTTCTTGATTTAAATTAGTAACGCTTGAAGAAATCTATTTTCATCAATAATAGAATCACCAGCAGATTCAATCAAATAATGCTTAATATATTCAATTCTTTTGATAAAATGACATAAGAAGACAGCTTGTATCAATCTACGTATGTAACAGCTGATAGTTCAATGATATATGAGAAACGAACTAAATGTATCTTTTAGTTACTCAAGTGTTCATTATTCTACAATAGATTAAATAAGATAATTCAAGTTATTTTTATTCTGTTATAAAAAAAAAAGAATTAATTTAATATAATTTCATGGTTTTCTTTCTTTTTTTTTTGTTTAGTCAACAAGAAACAAAAGAATATGAACATGAATATGAATTAATTATCCAAAAAGATTTCGATGAAATAACATATCAAATTGATAAATTTTTACAAAATCAAAAAAAATCTTACAAAAAATTACGTCAATTTATTATTAATGAAATTCAAACACAATCAAGTTCATCATCAAGTGATGAAGGTGAAATCGAATCAACATCATCATCATCGTCTATTATTTCTGAAAATTTTATATATAATAATAAAAAACGAGTTAGATCTCATAATTAACTCAATAATTGTTTTTGTTTTTGTTTTGTAATTATTTCGTTTAGTTATATTCTCTTTGTGATATTATATTTTTTTTTTTTCACTTCAAAAAAAAAAAACAAAAAAACAAAAGTTGATTGAACGACAACAAGAAAAAAAAAGCAAATCTTATATAATTACAACATTTTCACACGATGTAATAATTCATCGATGAATTCCTATAAGACATAGAAAGATAAGCAAAAAAAAAAAGAAATGATTGATTAATGTTGTCATATTTACCATTGTTATAGAACGAGATTGTTTGACATTTCTCAATTTCTCCTATATATATATATGTAATATAGTTCAGATATTAATAATGATAAATGAAAATTAAGATAAGATCTTACAAGTAGAAATGAACGTCGTTGTGATTCATTGTCAATATCTAAAAGAGAATCAATTAAATCTCCTGGACAATGATCATGATCTTCTTGTGAACTGTCATCCTGAACAAAAAAAAAAGAAGTTTTTGTTACTCGTTAATATATTTTTATATAGAATTTTTTCAATTTACTTTAATATCATATAGTGATCGTAATTGATCATCAAGCCAAAATTCAACTTTTAATCGTTTACGTATTAATTGCATTTGTTGTTGAGGATATTTACTAATCGACAAAATAAGAAGTATAATTTAATAAAATTTTAATTTTTAAGAAAGATTTACGCAGTAAGATATTTTTCACGGTCGTTAAATTTTGGTTGACTACTTATTAAATCATTAAAACGAACAGAACCAGTTAATGATGAATTTGTTTTAGGTGTAGATGGTGGTGATGATTGAACAGTAAGTGGATCTCGTATATTAGTTGGTGCCGTTGTAGTTGATGTTGAATTAGTATGATGAAACGGACGTTTTATAAAATTCATATTCAATGTTATTTGATCGTTAATCTCAAGAAAAAAAAGAAGAAGAGAAACTGACTACATATAAATGACAGTAGGTTGAATGACCTCCAAGTTTAGGCGAGCTATGAGCAGGGTAAACACCAACGCACATATATTTGAACAGCAGAGTAAGCACGTAGCTTGCTTGCTTAGCGTCGGTTCATCATAATCAAAAAATCATCACTCGTAAAGGAAAAGAAAAAAAATCCGAAGAAAAAAAAAACGAGAGAAAGAGAAATGTGGGCGGCGGATTGTATTGTATGTGCTCGAGCCAAATACATAGACATCAAGCGTACAATAAACGAGAAAGAGAGAGAGAGAGAGAGAGAAAGCAAAAGACAACGAAGAAAATAGTTATGTATACCGTTCTTGTGCGTTTTCATTGTCTTTTAACCTGTATGTAGAAAGTCTTTGCACGGCATGTCTGTTCAATTTTCATCGATTTTTAAGTCATTAGCAAGAATCAAAAATAGGCAGCTAGAATGAGAATTTGATGTTCTTGGTAAATATGCATTCAGAATTATTTTTTTCTGACTTACGACTAGTTTGCTATGAGTAATTAGTTCAATACATTAAAAATATTGTTTTTTTTTTCTCGCTTTACAAACGAGTAGCACTCATCAGAATCGAAAGTTATGAATATTTTTCGAACAGTTACCTTTTTAATGAGAAAACATTTGTCATAAACACTTTGCTCTACTAACATAAACAGAAACAGAGCTTTTTATATTTTAAGTTACTTTGAATACTGATGTAGAAAGAATATGAAATCTTATCCTACTCGATTACCTTTAATTGTTTTCTAATGGGTTCCA